TCTGGCGCCGGGAACGATCTCCAACTATCTCAAGCACACAGAATCGTGATTTGATGCACTCCTTGCAAGGTTAGATGCGTCACTTTTGCAATGTTGACCTTCCGTGACGTCATTTATGACGTCATCAAGGTCATATTAGTTTTTCGTCAATAACTCCCGATCAAATTGAGCTAGCGAGTTGAGAAAGCCACCAATGGACTCAGGAAGACCTGCCGAATCGAATGATATGCGACATGACCTCTTTCGACCAACTTCGTGACCTGGGGGTGCTGACCTGACCTTGACCTGAGGTCAACACCCTAAGTTGACCTGACCCGAACAAAAAGTACATCATTCGACGCGCCTGAGCAAGGCGAACACGATGCTGCCAAAATCGCGGCTCTGCGGCCGTTTTTTGCGAAGTTATTCACCAAAAACTGAACCGTACCCTGGGGCACTTGACCTGACCTCAGAGGTCACCGGTTGACCTAGAACCTTAAAATCGGGTACCAATCTCTGCGTCTCGTAACGGCGCACACGCTCGTTTTTTCCGCGACGCGCTAGCTCCACCAGGGGCGAAACGGCGAGGGGGGGGGGGGTCGTACCCGCCCCCCCCCCCTCGGCCGGCGCGTATGTAGAAAACCAATAGGTCCGGCGAGGGTTAAAGCATTTGTCGATGTTGTGAGTGCCCAAACCGATATTTGCAGGCCATGGCCACCAATTTGGCTATCTCAACTCAAAACTAATGTTAAGGTGGGAGTGTCCCTTTAATTCCAGTACTACAGAATGTCTTTTACTCGAAAAAAAAAAACAATATCAAAGAGCGATATCTATCACAGTCACAAACACAGAGGGCCCCTAACTACCTGAGAGCCCTGGGTACCTGAGGGGCCCCCTGGTTACCTGAGGAGCCCTGGTTATCTGACGAGCCCCTAGTTACCTGAGGGGCCCCTGATTATCTGAGGGGCCCGTGGTTGTCCGAGAGGTTCCTGGTTGTCTAAGGGACCCCTGGCTACCCAAGGGGCCCCTGGTCACCTGAGGGGTCCCTGGTTATCTGAAGGGCCCTGGTTACCTGAGGGCCCCTGGTCACGGGACCCCTGGTTACCTGAGGGACCCCTGGTTATCTGAAGGACTCCTGGTAAAGGACCCCTGGTTACGATGGCCCCTGGTTACCTGAGGGGCCCCTGGTTACCCGAGGGGCCTCCGGTTACCTGAGGGACCTCTGGTTATCTGAGTGGCCCCTAGTTACCCAAGGGGCCCCTGATTTCCTGGATGGCCCCTGGCCAGTCATCTGAAGAAGCCCTGGTCACCTGAAGGGTCCATGTTTACCCGGGGAGTACCTGGTTATCTGAAGGGATTCTGCAGTCACATGAAGACCCTTAGTTGCCCGTGGAGTCCCTGGTATAACCGGCCTTTGATTATCAGAGGGTCTCCTGGTCACGGTAACCTGGTGGGCCCCTGATCAATTGAAAAGCCTCTGCAGTCACCTGAGAGGCCCCTGATTGCCTTAACGGCCCCTGATCACTTGGATTCAATGACATAGCCAGGGGGCGAGGGACACGTGTCCGTTATGTGGTTTAGGGTCCCCTCGGGCCCGAGGGGCCCTACGGTGCCAATTTACATCAGAGGGTCCGCGCTGGCCACGCTTCAACTGGAAAGGAGTGAAAGGACACCACGGGGCTTTTGAGAACACGTCATGGGCTCTTATGTAGCCACACTTATCTCCAGAAGGGCCCCACCCGAGGTTCTGAAGGACCTTGCCGGCCTCTGAGGGCCCTTGCCGACCAATGAGGGATCAGCTTTAAGGGCCCCACACCTGTTTGTTATTCCCCCACGGCCCACACCAGTATTTCTTGAGGGCCCTTACAATGGCGACTGGGAGGGCCCTCACCGGCCACCGCCACCTCTCAGGGTCCCACACCAGCGCCTCTTAACGGCCTACATCGGCGGCTCTGAAGGCCCGCTCACCGGCGCCTCCGAGGGCCCTATACCAGCGCATCTAACGGCCACTTACCAGCGACTCTGAGGGCCTCTTACCGGCATCTCTGAGGTTCCCTTGCCGGCCTATGAAGGGCCACTAGTAACTTTCAGGGTCCCATACATGCCTATGACAGCCCCTACCAACGTCTCTAAGCCCTAAGGCCCCCACAACGGCGCCTGTGTGGACCCCACACCAGCGCATCTGACGGCCTTTCATAGACACGTCTGAGGGACCAACACCGGTGACTCTGAGCGGCTCGTTCGCTTCGTTTCTTCAGTGGCAAAGAACCGCACCTGTGCGTGGGTTTACCACTGGGGCCCCTAAGGTAAGGGTGGGGCCCCCTTGAGCAGGTTTGGCCTCCCCCTTTTCAAGATCCTGGATACGCCACTGGCACCCTCAGCCATTTTAACGTGACAAGTTTGGATCCGTCACTTCCAGCCAGGCTCTCAGGTCATAAACTGGAGTAAAGCAAAATGTCAACTCTGAACAGACATGCCACACAACCGGCCTTCTTTTCAATATTATTAGCTTTCTGCAATCATCGTCTAACTCCATCTCGATCAAACGCAGCATCCGGTTTCTACAGGGGCGTTTGACTGACCGGCCGGCGGCCACACAATAACCAAAAACAAAATCAAAGCTTCATGCACACATATGCCATACGTAAGAAACGGATGAAAAAGGCACAACCACGGCACAACTCTGCGCGGCAAACAACGGACAATGTCCCACGCAAGATCCCGCGTTTCTTCAGCGGCCTTGAACGGAATGAAAAAATTACATTTCTTTTTTGGAGCTATTTGATGACGTCAAAAAATACAATGCCCGTTTTAATGGTCAAAATCGAGACAATTACTCACAAAAATGTTTCCCTTTAAGCAATACAAATAAATGCTTTTAAATATTTAAATGACATTGTTTTTTTTCAAACAAATTAATATTATTTGCTTACTTAAACGTCATATACAATGCTGAGATCACTACGGGGCTGTCTTAGAGTGTAGCTGCACTGGCAACCTTTAGGCTAGACTCCAGGGGTCATTATACCAGAACAACATGATTCTACCAGCCAGTTGTTCATTTTTCTACTAGATTGGTGCTACGCTCAGCATTTAGGTGCCAGATTCAGAAAAAAGAATAAGGCGTACCGATGAATAGATGCCAGAAACAGCTAATTAAGGTCATTTTCCATGATTGGTGCTGGTATCCACCAAATAGGAGCTGAGGACCAATTTTGGGGCGAGTCAGCTTTTAGGTGCCAGAAATAGCTTTTCTGGGACGCAATTAAATGGCGTCCCTTTTATAGACGCTTATCGCAATTGTGATTTCGGTGTAATCTCGGTCGCCAAAGTTATAATACAAACGGCAGCTCTAATGGTGTCCTCTGGGTCGGACTGGGTCGCTCGGCAGCTGTGGGGGGGGGGGAGGGGGATCGGAAGCTGATATGTTCCGGATAGACAACTGATGGGGCTTGGGTGAGTTTAGTTCGGCAGCTGATTGGTTTTAGGCTTGTCTGGGTCGGCAGCTGATTGGGCCTGTAGCTGGCTTTGTCTGGGTCGGCAGCTGATTGGGTCTGGGATTGGGCTTTTTTGGGTCGGCAGCTGTTTGGGTTTATCTGGGTGGGCAGCTGATTGGGTTTTGGCGGGTATTGGTCGGCTGCTCCAGGACAATAAGTGACGTCAGGTACCAGTTCTCACGACTGACATTTTTTGTGGACGTTCAAGTTTTTGACTAGCTTACCTATAGCACCGGATCATTTTCACTGTCATATGTTATTATCTTGACATGTGGTATTCGTGTACCTATATAACGAAATCAACCTCGATTTATGATTTGCATTTCAGCATTTCTATATTGCTGGATGTTCTTTGCGTATTTTATCAATCGTCTTTGCAAGGTAATGCTTTGCTGATATTCTCGTACGCAACACATGTTGCGAGTAGTTTGTGGTGCCCATCAGACGAGCTGAGCTTGTGACTGATGGAGGAAAGCACTGCTGAATGTAGTCAGACATGTGGTGACAGGTGCTCAATCTTAACCACTCGATACTGATATTTTCTAACGACGCATCATTTCGCAAGGCTGTTTGGAGAGCTATTTCGTTGTTTTGCCGGTGTCTGTTCTAGATCCCCATCATCATTGTCATCCGTGTTTCTCAGATATCACCTCAATCATGACCATTTGATACGTCTGATGCAGATGATAGGCGTGCGTCATTGACATCGTGGAACCTGCCGTTCGCATTATTATACAATTTCGGTCTCTGGACTAACAGTACCAACTGACGGTATTGATCATATAATCCACCACCATGCCTGAATCCCCGGCGCGCCCACGCGGTAGGTGGCTGCGGTCCGGTCGTACAAAAATACTCGGGCACACGGTAACGCGGTAATTACCGACGCTAATACGGTGCACGCCGTCCCTGTCGTTTGACCCCATTAATCTGACGATTTGGTCCGCACTGATCCGGGCGCAATCCGGCACTCTCTCATTCGGTAATGGACTTTGACAGAGGCGCTCTCCCGGTTTGGACTGAAATCTGCCGCCTCACTGCAGCTAGGCGTTTATCTTGCAGTAAGGGAGGCATCAGAGACAGAAAATGAAAACTTTCCCGACCTGACCTGACCCGACCCAACCTAACTGAGCTACCCTATTGTAGCTCCGTAGACAGGCGAAGTAACTGACAGCTCCTCGGCTACGCTTGTAGTTTATAGTTGTAATTCACCCGTTTCTATCGCCTATCATTGTAATCATTTTATCCGGCGCGCTGAGGCCGTTCCAAGTTGGGAGCGCCGCATGGTTTTTTGGCCGAAATCTGTTATGTCGAACGATGCTGAGCGGCAGCGCCGGCACGCGCGCCGGTGCCCTTGTTGCCCGGGCCGGTCGGCGCGCGGCCGGACGGGCGGCGCGGCGGGCCGCGTGCAAGAGCGGCCGACCGGCGCCGTCGTCGGAATCGATAGTGCGCGCCGTCGAGCGTCAGTCGTCCGTCGTCGTCGTCGGCGGCGATCGGGCTGCTGCGGCGGCGGCCCGGCGGCGGAGATGCCAGGAGCTGCGCACGGTGAGTGCCCGGTCCGCGGTCCGACCCGACCCGGTCCGACCCTCGCCCCGACCCGTGTCCCCGTCACGTCCACCCCTCCGTCGCGGTGACCGATGGCGGTCACGCGCCTGCTGTCCTGTCGACTAGCGGTAATCTGTGGCCGGCGCCGCTCGTCGGCCGTGTTTTACAACACCGTTGACGGGCCGACAATTGACTCACGCCATCCGTGCGACTAATGGGGTGGTCGCACGCGTGCTGTCCCGCGCGCTCAGTGCGCGACACAGCTGTGATCAGACGGCGTGCCAACTCTGATGGGCGGTGGTTCTGGCCGGCTGTGTGATCATTTTTCCATATTCTGCAGATGTATGCTTTATAAACGGTGGGTCTGGCAGGCCGTGCGACAATTATTTCATATTCTGTGGGTGTCTCTCCTTGTAAAGCTTTTATATATAAATTGAGCTCGAGTGATTAAATTGACGGATTGACAGAGCCAGGGCCCTCGCTAAGCAGCGCTTGTTGCTAAGATCCTGACTCCTACCGTCCGGCAGGTGAGGGGATAATTAAGATGCCGAACTTAAGTGTGCCCTTCAAAGCTGGGCACGGCCGGTTAATCCCTAAAAAGGTCGGACAGGTTGATTCCTTCTCCAATTTTGAGCATCGCCGGTGAGAGGTGTTTCCCTGTTCCCCTGAGCTATCATTTGGCTTGATGATTGTGATTTGTGCGTGGTCAAGGTTTTCGGTTTTCCGCTTGTGTCATGCATATTGTCGTAACAACTTTATCCTACCTTCATCCAAATGAGCATTGAGCTATGGATAACACGGGGAAAATCGATTCTGCAGTAGCACTTTGCTCTTTTCTGAAGTATTTGTCTACCTCCAAACGTCGTCATTGCTTAGTTCGGCTAAACATGTGTTCCCTCGCGTGCCGTCTCCAGCATTGTCCTCTGATGGTCCTTTGTGGCTGGCTGTCCGTTGCCATTATTGTCTTTCGGTCAGTTATCGGGTACACCTGCCACTGTCTCAAGCCGACGGGCCATGTCGATCGCCGGAAGCGGCACTCGAGTCTGTCTCGTGCGTGGGGCGAGGACGGCCGTTGGGACAGGCAGTCGATCAGCGACATGGTCGGCTCCGACTCGACCGTCCAAGGCACTGTGTTCGCTCAGCTCTCCCATGGGAGGCATCGGCTGGTGTTATCCGTTCTTACTCCGTGAAGTCAGTGACGGCATGTGATCTTGATAGATATAAAATAGATTTCATGGCAACTGAATGCTAATGCCGTGTGATACTTCAAGTGTAATATTCACTCCTATTACAGGTTTTCAGGTTTTGCTTTATCATTGAAAATCCTAGACATCGGACGAGGTTATACCAAGGTAAAATCTCTAAAAAGCATCGCCGCTGTGGTATTTTATTCATTTCTTTTTATGGGGGTTTTCCCCATATTTCAAGAACATCTAACGCTCAAGAGCGCAACATATTGATTTTCGCTGATGTTTTCATCAACGATCCCCAGGGACGGCCTTGCTGTCTTTTGTGTTCCACAAGCCTGTTGCCTCCAGTAAATCTAATTTATATCGCTTCTATTGTCAGGCAAGGACTCTGACGTGTCACACCGATTTACGTAATCACATTTCTCGCGAGCCGCGGGCGATGCGGCGCTGTTGGTGCGCCGCGTTAGGCGGTGTAGCCAGTGGTGCAGCTGGTGTTGCATTGGTGCCGCCGTGCGTGCTGCGCCAGGATCTGTCGCGTCAGTGAAAACACCCGGTGTGCCAGGAGTGGCACCGATCGCCGACGGACTCGTTCCGTCTCTGTCGCCACACGAACCGGTCCCGGCCGGCTGCCAACCCACACCGGCTCCCGGCGTTGGCCGCGAACGACGTCCGTCACTCGACCAGCTGAAGGGGGCGAGCGCTAATCGCTGTCATCTGTCCGCCCACCTACCGCCGGCTGGCGAACGACGCTGGCTGGCTGTTTTTGCGACAGCCTGCCGAGTAGGATCGGTGTCGCAAGTGCTCGATAAGTGGGATTTTGCGTCGTCTTTTTTTGCCAGCTCGTTGATGCAGATGACAATGGATTTGGAAGATGTCTCTTCTTGGAGATGTTTTCTGCGAGAGTCACGTATCTGCACTTGAAGCCCCTGTTGAATCGTTATGAGATGGATAACGGGAACCGTTATTAATGTCGGACCTGTCGAGACTCCTACGTCAATATTTCATCACGATTTCAGCAGCGTTCGTGGTCATAACTTGGTATAGGACTTCTGCGGCAATGAACAGCAGCTGAGATAGCTGCCGCTCGTGACCGCCATAAATAGCCCTGAGGGTGAGCCAGTCTCCAGTTCAACAGGCGAGCGGAGTGGCCGGCCGACAGCCCCAGGTCGGCCGGCCGGCGGCGCGGCGGCACCTTTCCAGTCGCGGCACGCGCCTGCCGTGACGTCCATCGCGTCCGAGTCGAACGGCGCCGGCCGCGCCTCTGACGACCCGGCGGTCCGTGGGCCGCCCACGGGCCGCCGCTGACGTCAGGAGCCGCCCAGAGACCGAGAGCAGTTCCTGCCCCGGCGACTGTCTTTTGGGCATAGTGACCGCGAGACGTAACCGTGGTGCCACAGCCGTGCCTGGCCGATCGCAGCAGATATTCTGAATGTAGCTCACCTGGAGACTGGGTGCCTTTGATCTCCCTGGTTTACATTGGAACTCAGATTATTGTGGTAAAAATTCGATGTAAGACGAATTATAGAGCACGTAAGGGATACAGAGGCCAGTTCTACCAAATGTAAAGCGCCGGCTGCTGTTATTTTTATTCGCAAAAGTCGCCCGCACGTCTCAGCAACCGCGCAAAAAAAAGCTGATGTGAAGAATATCAGGCGGGCAGGTATTATTTTTCACATCAGCGGTTATTTGTTCGCGTGGAGGGCGAAACTCGTGGGCGTCTTTAGGCTAAGGCAATTGCGGCCGGTGATTTTTCTGTTGTAAAAACTGGGATCAGATCCAGATATGAATAGATGCGCATATCAACTTATTGTGACTTTGTCGCTTCACTGCAGTTGAGGGTAAACAGATTGCTGACCGTACTTTCATGCTTACAAGTTACATTACACGGTATACCCGATCTGAGGCTACTTCGGGTGGGACAGGGATGGGAAGCAGTTACTATTATTTTTCTATAATTCACTTGTTTAATTGTTAAATTGATGAAAACTTTCCATTGTTAGGGTTTTTTCAGAGTATTTCCAATACGGTTCGATTGTCAATATTGAGCCCATAAGGCACTTCAATTTTGGTTTTCCGAATTGTTCAAGATTTTAAGTAATAACTGCACGCTTGATTTGCACCTCATTCAATTACAATTTCAGAACTGGTTTTTACGTCTGTTTACAATACTCGTAAGTTCGAGTGTTTGACAGAACCTATCACCAGAGCACTTGGCGAGTTCTTTGTTGTGGGCGGACCCTGTAGTTTTGCAGCTTGTCATCGGGAGGCGCACGGGGCTGTGTGTCCACGGCGCATCTAATGGTGCCTAATGACGTTCGGCCGACACAGTCACGCGCCGCCTTACCACTCACTTCCACGGGAGGTCGACGGTGTGGTGTGCCTCATGGATGGGATTATGGTATCCATAGGTATCTACTTACGTATGGATAGTGGGCTGGGTACTCTGAGATAGTGCACTGTAGATGGGGTGGTCTGCGCCTTTACAAGTCAGTTATTGTTAAGATATCTAATAGTTAGGTATAAAATTTGCGGAGCTAAAAATGTCTGGAGTTTTTGCAGCATCTGCTGATAGGATAACCTACAAATTACAATATATGTCACTTCCGATGATTCGTGTTCACGACGCGTTACCAATCCAATCAAACCAATCAAACCCAATGTACTTAATTTCGCGGTCAGGTTTTCGTTTTTTAGCATGTTCGTGACGTTTCCGTGTTTGCCGCGTTTACGTAGTCTGTGTCAGGTGGCCTTGGCAGGCCATGTATCGAGCGCATATCGCTGTTTCACGTGTGATCGGCCTCCACCGTGCCTGGGAGGCCTTCCATGTTGCATGTGGTTCGCTGCGGTGCCCTGACCGCGACCACGGGTCAGTATGGTAGGTATGCGCACTTGCGCATGACTGCTGTTCTGATAAATGTTTTATTCGCCGCTGAGCCTACCAGAAATTCATAGCTCGCTCTGGGCCCGGCAACTCGCGGTGTTATTGGATAAAGTTGTCTTTCTTGGTATGGAATATGCTCTATACAAGGGGATTATCTACGGGTCGGATAATTCCGGTGCACTGGCTCCCAGTCCTTGCTTGTTTCACCGTCGCCTAAGACCATTAATTTCAGCTGAATAGCTGATAGGGTGAATAGCTGAATGCCGGGGTTGCCTTTGGCCGCCGTTTCACGCTCCCACACTGAGGAGATTAGGCGTGCAATGTTGTATTTACTCCGCGAGACTAGATTGGACTAATGCTGAATTGCATGGTACCCTTGGAACTGATATACGTAATATCGTTATTTACGTGTTCTACGTATCGCCTTATTTCCATTTGATAATCGGTTATCGTGAACTTTTTTAGAAACACAAATCTTGAAAAGTTTTGAGGCTGATTTTTTTTTAAGGTCATATGAATATTGATTAATACTACAGCGCATTGGCCGTTAAAAGATAAATATCAACTTGCTATTATACATAGCCTAGTGACCAGGGTTTGCTTGTTGAGTGCGGCGCGGACCGGTCCGGCTGAAAGTGTCACCGACCAACCGGCCCCGCCCCGTTCCGTGTCGCCGACGGGCGGGGTGTGGTAATGGCACCGCTCCTGTCGCGTTAGGCCAGTGATCAGTGTCCGTCTATTGATGGCCGGTGCCGGAGACACAGGGGCGCGCCCGTACCGACGCTGCCTGATTGTTGTCGGTTATCGACCTGTCAGCTGGTCGTTTGTCACCTGAACTTGAGACAAATCACCGCCGACACAGCGCCGACACAGGAGAAAATATCGCCGGAATGAACAATGTCGTATAGTGGAGTGTACCCGGTACACCATGTCATCTATTACCGACACTAAAATGAATACCAATGTGGTATCCATAAACCCGGACAAATCACTTCGGTGTTCGACCTGTCGTCAAAATAAATTATACCCGGCCAGTACTCGGTAAATGGTCGGTGGGCGGTGGTTGTTCGACCCTGTGGGCGGCACTGGCGGCCTCACCGCCAGGGCAGCTCTGGTCGGACAGTCGCACTGCTGGCGTCACGCAGACACCACTGACGCTCCAGTCCGGTGATATGTTACTCTGGTCCGGTGTCGGTGTTCAGTCTGCAACTCGCGCAGGTCTTCCGCTGTTCAGTGCGGGCCGCGGCCGCGAGTCACTGGACGGGTAGACTGACCCGCAGCACACCGGCGCCTGACAGGTAGGCTGGCCCGCAACACACGCCATTCGCCGGCGCGGCGGACCGCGGCGCGCCGCTGCTTCGTATCTGCGGCGCCCGGGTCCAGGCCGTCTTTGGCTCTGAGCTGGTTACAACGGCCAGGCGCATGGCTTATCCTTATTGATGATGGGTTCGATAACAAATAGGCCGCCATCGCCGGCCGGGCGCCGGCAGTTGCCGCTAAGCGCGGTGATTTACAACGGCTGACGGGGTGGCCTACGACGTCCACCCTCGTCGGCCATGGGGTCCGACAGCGCCGCTGGGTGGGACCGCGGGGGTGGGCGGCAGAACCACACACAGACCGGGCCAGGCACATTGTGGTGTGACATTTGCCTCTGCCGAATGGTGCAGCCGTCGCCTATTTGGCGGGAGTAATTATGCTAGTTGTTGGCGGAATGGGCGTTACAGGCAAAGTTTGGGCAAAATGACGCCTGATTATGCTAAAAGGCTCGGTTGAATGTGTCGATGTGTCTGCTGTACTAAAATGCTTGATATTGTAAAATCTCCAATTAAAAATTTGGTACGAAAGAATCTTCCGATTTTGCATTGTTCAATGCTCATCCGTGGACAACGGTATTCGCGAAAAAGTAAAATTTTAAATAGGAATGGTGAGTTGAATCATCTATGACCAAATTTTATGATCCTAATCCTTGGTACCTACATATTATAGGTAGGTAACTTGAAATTGGATCATTAGATACACTGATGGTGCTAAAACTGAAATAATTATTGGAGCTTACGTCTTGGATTAACCTGCTCAGGCAGTTAACTAAGATTCGTACGCAAACTGAAGAACAAAACCGAAGAGTGCTTCCGCAGTATTCATGTCCCACGTTTTCAAAGGTACAAAAGGTAAGTTGGTGTGCCTTCTGGGCGCAGTGCTTCACTAGTTAACGTGCCTGCTGCGTTTGCTATATCGGCGTTTGTGGCGTGTCATAGGGTCATTCGTTGTTCCATCAACGCTGGAGGGGCGACTTCATGCAACAATGAGGGACTTTGACGACCCCAAATGGCTAAGTGTTTCTGCAAACGCGAATAGCGATTGAGCTGTGCCATTTCCATGGGTTTAGTGCGTGGTGTTTGTGCTTGTGTTCTAAGAGCCGTACATTGATTTTAGGAGCGGCCTTTCACATTGTGATGTTCGTGCAAATTATTGAAAGTGCGCGATGCTGAGGCATTTTAAGTCACTATGGTTTTTATTAGTCAAACACAAACGGTGTTTTCCTTAAAGTATTTGGTGTTTGTTTGCATTGACTGCCCTGTATTTGCTTATAATACCTACAGTATTTTCTGATTTGTTCTGACGAAGGTTGTTTGAAACCGAAACGTCAATAAAAGTAAGTGCATTTAGTTATTTGTTGGCTCCACCGATAACCTCATAACACTACAGTATTTTGTTTTGGTTAAATTGTGGTTAAACAAAACCATTGACGGTTTGTGCATTTGTTTCAGGAGTCTGACCGACCCGTCACCATGGGCTGGCCGGTCAGTGCCGGATTGATGAGAGCTCTGCTCAGCGTGGCCATCACCACCACATTCTTCGTCAGGTCAGTCACCATTCCTGTCTCAATCCGCGTTACGGCTGACCAAGAAGGACGATTAAAAAGAACATTCATCTGAGTGTGAACATGAGTTCCTATGAACACATACCTTACTGTCTCAGAATCTGCATATCAGTATTCCGACCAGTATTCAAGGATTTACCTAAATTCATTGAAATATGGTAACAATGGCGTCACTTAGATTACGCTTTAATTATCTCCATTTTACCAGTCATCGTATCATTGCCGTGAGGTCTTCATGTCTGTTGACTTACACCATTTTTTCGAGAATGCTGCACTGCGGGCACGCTAATTTTCCAGACTAATAACCATAAATATTAGGGAGCCTTATAAGTCTTGTTTACCGGCCAACTTCGTCACATCACGCCAAGTTTAAGCGCTTTCGTCTTATGTGATAAACTTAGAGCCGACTTTCACCGGAAACTATCAGAAACGGCCTTCGGAGTGGAACAGAGAAGCACTTATCTCCCAGACTGATGGGTCCGATCGGAACTGAGCCGTCAGTGATTCCGTAGGTGTGTGGGGAGGAGGGGGTTGGTGGCTGTAAGCTGTACACTTTATTCTTGCATTGTAGATATTCTATGAAACGGTTACCTTATTGGCACACGGTCTTGCGTTTTGTAACGAAGATAGGGAAATTATTTAGAGTTGCAGAGCAGGGATCCAATGTAGGAGCATGGGAAACAGCGGTCGATGTTTGGTATATTATCTCTGCTGCTTTAAGCACTAAATTTAAATTGTGGGCTGATCTCCGATATACTTTCTCGACTTCAAATATAAACCAGTCTTAGAAAAGGGCCATGGATCCCAGTCACTAGATTGCGGAGACTATCACCTGGGGTATCGGGGTCAGTTCTTCGACAGAGCTCCTACAATACGAGGGGCGTTCAAAAAGTTCTCGGCCCGACCATGAAGGAGCAGAGATACGACGTCGACTCATTAGACCAAAAATGTTCATTTAGTCAAATAACCAGCGTTAAGACAAAAATATTTCGCGCAGCGCTTCGCGAGAGGCCCCTGGGTCTCCATAGCCAAGTGGGTTTTGGACGCATCTGGCACGTCCAAGACGGCTGCTTTTGTCTCCTTGCTGTCAGCGAAGTTGCCACTGCTAGGCAATTTCCTTATGTTGGGGAAGAGGTGGCAGCCTTAGGGTGCAAGGTACGAAGAAAAAAGTGGCTGTGACAACAACTCGAAGCCACAGCTCACTGCTTCGCTGATCGTCACCCTGCTCATGTGTGCTGGTGCGTGGTCCTGGATCAGGCGCACACTTTTAGTCAGCTTCCCTAGTCTCTCCTTGATATCTGCTGCTCGCTACTGTTATCGAAGGGAGGTGTAGCATTCATCATTAATTGTGCGCCCCTGTTTTAGAAAGTTAACGAGCAGAGCCCCGCCATCATCCAAAAATGCAACCACTGTCACCTTGCCGTCTGACTTTAACACGTCGCACACATTTGGTGGCCTTTACTCAGTGTGCTTCCACTTGTGCAACTCGGTCACGCCCTGAGGGTCAATGTGTGACACCCACAATCCCTCCACGGTAACAAGTAGTTCAATGAACTCTTTTGGATCTTCGATATAGGGGCCAAAATTTTCGCGTTACGCCTCCTTTCGAGTTTGCCTTTCCTATGCAGTCAGCAAACGGGGGATGCATCTTGCAGAGATCTTAAACATATTAATACGCTGTCGAAGAATGGCTTTGAGGAACCTGATAGACAACTCCGCTTCTGCTACATTGTTTCAGACCAGAACATTTGTCATTTTTTACAAAGAAGTGCTTATTTTTCATATTTTCTTGAGTCAATGCTGTTGATGGCTGGCCACTGCGGGGGTGACCATTAATGATCTGTTGACCAAAATTGAACAGAGATGCCCACTTTTTGACGCTACTGTAAGAAAGACAAACCTCAACATGTGTTGGCACTAGCTTTTCGTAAATAACGTTTGGTGCATTTTTCTGCAATACATGAACCAAATCACTGTTCTATTCTGGGTGTCACCCATTCTGACCGGGAATAGCAAACTATGTTACGATTAATTAGCAGCCTGAACCAATCACAGGGCAGATTGGTTAATGGCTACGTAAGTGGACATCCCAATAACACATCATTGAACACACCGCGTTGTAGGCCGAAATTCCAACTCCTTCATGGTTGGGCCGAGAACTTTTTGAGCGCCCCTCGTATATTGCCGCTGTCCGAACTGCTCACCGGCCGGCTACATAGATTGACCCGCATTTTGCATGCAACATCGTAAATTGCAATGACATTGAGGAATGAACACTGCAAAGGTTAGACATCAAGAACTATTCGTGGACTAACAGTGTTCATTTTGATTGTGCTGGTCGTTTATGTACTCGGGGTCAACGAGAGGCAGGCCCACGGCCAACTACCGCGCTGCGGCCGTGGATCTCCAGTAACCGTTTGTTTTCTGTGGCGTTTTCAGTGTGGTCGGCATCAACTTCCGGGAGAAGGAGAAACGCATCCTGGACAACATCCTGTCGCAGGGCAGCGGAAACTCGAGCGGATACGACAAGCGAATTCGACCTTCCGGCGTTAATGGTACGGACACGGGGCTGTATGAAGTGTGTGTGTGGGGGGGGGGGGTTATAAGGTCGAGTCTCATCCCCCTCAACCGTTAGGGGCCTCTCCTACCCTGGTTCCATCTTCTCCGGATCATCTCCTTCCGAGTCTATTGGTTGCGGGCGATCCGTGGTATCTTTTAGGATGTTGTCCGTTATCAAACCGCTTTACCCATTTGGTAATGTGACCCATACCGCATTGATCCATGTCCCACTCCGATTGCCACACTGGGTCTGTGGTCCACATCGACCCACATAATCCCATTGGCCTTTTTGCCCACACCAGTGTCCTACCAGTTTTATTACCAACATCAACCCACAAGATTCCTTTGCTTCTGTGACCCACACTACGTACACAGACCTGCAATACCGCACATGTGCTCACACAGATCCACAGTTTTGCTTATTGGTCCTGTGACCCACACATGCATAGCCCTTTTCCTTTATATTATTGTGGTGCTTATCTGACACTTGTTTGCCCTTTTATTTTCCTTGATATATTTTCCCCTATCGGCATTAAAAAATTGCTGGAATTTCATGTATTGTAATTCAGCAACAATAACATGTTGAACGAAATTAATATGCATACCACAGCATTTATTATAGATGAGAGAAAACAAATCAATCGGCCAGCTGTGCCATGAGATCGGTCGACGCCGTCTTTCTTCGGATTGAGCTGATGGCTGTTCCATGTCTCACGTCTCCTGCCTGGGATCACTGGTCAGTCGGTGGGTATTCCATGTCTGAGCCAACCACCGTGACCCGATCTGGGGTCGGCTGGTGGCTGTTCCGTGTCTCCAGGACTACACCGTTCGATCGGCCGTGTAGCTACAAGGCCGCACCGGGATACCTCAGGGAGGCCGTCAGGGTCAGTCGCTGAGGGCGGCTGTGGCGGCCGCGTGCCGCCCGCGCCACCGGGCGCTCCATTGACCCAGTGCGCTCGGTCGGGCGGGCGGCGGGCCGCTGTCGATACGGCATCCGGCCGTGAGTCGTCGGCAGGGCGCGCATCCCACCTCCCTGGCGGCCGGCGGCGGCTGCCCGCTCGGTTCCGGCTGGGTGCCGGGCGACGCCGTGATGCCGCGCTGACGGCTGGCCGGTGCGGCCCAGACCGCCGCTCGCTGCCCGCCGACCGGCGCCGGCTGCTGACGGTCGGCAGCGCTGCCCGGAGACGGATCAGCAGGGAGGGGAGCCGGGGTGCCGCCGAGGAAATGGACCGGCCCTGACTGAACACCGGTGGCTTCTGGGAGGAGCACCAACAGTGCGCCCGGAAGGTCAATGAGCCTCTGCCGAGCAGTGGGGCGTAGCTCGGCTGTCGGCACCGAGCGCCGGCACGCGGCCAGGCTGGATAGTGGACCGAGCTGAACTGCGGGTCCGGGGATCAGTCCGAATGGCCGAACAATGATGATGAACCGAACGGTGGATCAGGTCGGAGCGATGGGGACGGATGGCGGCCGCCGCTGCTGAGTGGGTCCGGTGGGCGGCTGGCCGAGGTCGCCGGCGGCGGACTGGCGCGGCCGGCGCCGCGGCTGGAGACGGATGTGGCCTCGTCCATCGGCCGGCTGACAGGCGCGCCGGCCGGCCCTGTCCCGCGCCCGACCGGCGGCGGCTGGAGGCGGCGCCCGCGCGGTCACCGCGCAGACGGCCGCCGTCCGTGCCAGAGATCTTTCCTGATCTTGGTTCATGCCCTACTTACCTTCGTGACTGTTAGGAAAATTATAACACAAAAAGAATAAATTCAATTTATGAATTTAACGGGATTGCTTGTCAAATCATGAAAAATCAAGAGAATGACAAAACATATTATTTTCCCGAGAATGCTGCTGTTTTGGTCATGGAGTCAACTCTGTCAATTCATGAAAAGTTCTTTCGAGCTGGGGCTTGCATTTGCAGAGCGCTTTTCACGAATGTTTGTGAGCTGCCTTCTTTTGTATGCGATTACTGCTCCCACTTTGTGGAGGCACTCTGGACATCCACTTCATCGATAAACCTGACCTCAAAGTGGACGTTGTTTAATGCGCTCCAAGTTGGGCTCGGTTTCCAAGTTTTCACTTACAGTTGGCCAAGTTGGTTGTGCTGACCGGTCGGTGCAGTGGAAGTGACGTTCCGCTTCATTAGCCCGGCCGGGGACGGCCGTCGGTGATGAGGTGCGGTCAATAGTTGGACGGCAGGTGGCCGGCCTTTGTGGATCGGCCGTGCGGCTCTGTCCGTCTGTCCAGCCTCACGCCGTGTTGTGTGGCCCATTGCGGCTGGTCGGCGACTCGGCGGCTCCCGTGGGCCGTGGTGGAGGCGTGAGAGAGGGCGGAGTCGGCCGCCGACTGTTACCGATTCCCGCAGTGTGACGGACGGTGTCTGACTTCACGCCGTTGTGGGAGGGGAGGCTTGCGAGCGAATTGCAGCTACATTGCTGAACTGAAGGCGTCGGAAGCCGGCTTGCTAGTTTGAGACAACCAGCATTGTGATATGCAGAGTTTCAAGTCACCAAACTTGAGCCGTATATCAAACAAGGAATGAACTCTGAACTGTTTCCGATTCTATGGTACATGGTGCAACTTCAGTTAGTAGAACTTCTTTTGGACTGTGGTCTTGTTTACAGCTAGAATTGCGAGTCAAGTGCCGTAATATTTTCTGAGAATAGTCTAAGCCGGAGACACAATAGGCTAGTTTATTTACGTCAAGTTTTATACGATTCATCGCCTGCTACATCACATCTCCATATTTACGGTGTTGTAGCGACAGTCTCCAGTCCACCGAATTTGCCTTATCGAAACCACAGACAGCTCGCCTTCCAAAAGCCGGCGCTGTTCTAAATGCATGCTGTCGCTCAACCTGGCCTGAACGTCGGTCGTCCGGCTGCAAAAAGGTGCCGTGTCCGGTCTGTCGGTCCCAACGGCGGGGCTCCCGTCGGCGGCAGACGCGTCCGCAGATCGAACTGTCGACGCCAGACGGAGGCGGCCGGTCCGCGGCGCCGGCGTCTTTCAGTCGCCGGTTTCGGCTCTGGCCGCAGCGACTGCTCGCTGATTGGCAAGACGTAGGTATGTACGAACGGCGACGAGTTGTGTCACTGGACCGCGGCGGCCCCGGGCTGGCCGCACGGCTGGTTAGCGCCGGCCGTGCCGCGCATCGCTGACGAGCTGACCCCCTCCCCTAGTCCCACGTCGACCTCGCTGACGGCATTCGGTCCGAGCGGTCCGAACGACCCACGACCGTTGGGTTCAGTCAGCTGCTGCTGGTATCGGCTCGCTGGCGTGCTGTATAGTGTATAGGTGTCCATGCTTTACTATGACCCCTTCTCCGTTGGCGGTCTCTGTCCGATTGTGCGGATGCAACTGTTAGATTTACAGCCACGACAGCGGATTCTGCTATTGTCGGACCCGCCACTGTAGAGTCTGCTTCTAGCGGGGCTGATGCTGATGCTTCAGCTACTGTTTCTGTCTCGTCTCACCTTCGCCGATTGACGTGCGTGGCTGTGGCTGCGTGCGAGTCTGCGGCTGGGTCGGGTGCGAGTCTCTGCTGGCCGCGGCCTGCGTCCGTCGCTTCCCGGGTGAGCTGGCGGCGCTGGCCCGTCGGTGTCGGCGGGGAACGACTCCATCCGTCCACATCAACCGTCCGACCCAGCCGGCTGAGGGACACCGCCGCCGCCACAATTTAGGACACTCTCGCCGGACTCGGGCCACGATCAGCCGAGATTGGTGGTGGCCGCACTCCTGAACGCTTTCGGGAAACTCGCCCCGTGGCTATTGGCCTGCAATGGCAGATTTCGGAAACATTGCTGTGAAAAATTATCGGTGCAATGGGTCGTGGACCGGAGTTTCCACTTTGCGTCGGAAATATAGTCGCTGATAGTGTGGCGGCTCGGATGACGCCGGGCGGCCATAGCGACCCAGTATTGTCTGGTCGGCTGAGACTCCGCCATGGGAATAGAGCCGCGTCCAGACGGGCGACCACCGTGCAAAAATAGAACTAATTACGGCGGGGTGCTGAAAATTAGCCAGGCGCCGGGATATTCCTGGGAACAGATGTGGAGTTATATCTATAAAGGTGCAATAAAACTTGGCGCTGGATTACAGTGAGACATTTATCATGTCCATTTTGAATAGCGCTTGCTAGAATGTTTCCATTTCTGTTGAAATTATTTTCGGGGTGAAGTAATCCATTCCCCTTATCTGGTCTTCCCTATATCCTAGAGCGCGGATGGCTGTTCTTGGAGTTAACGAGTTGCGCACGACTGTACCGTGAGCGTCCTCGACCGTCCTCGACTGTCTTCACCGCCACTACTGCGGGTGACTACAGCTGGTTGAGACCAGCCGACCTGTGACGGATGAGCTGCCGTCCCGGATGGATGGCCCGAACGGATTGACGATCTTTGTGCTGTCGAGATCCAGACGTTGTTTGTGTTGATGCATTGTGCTGGTGATTTCAGTGGAGCAGGGTCATGCTTTCAAGAGCTGCTGAGGTTGATAGCATCTTATGACGCAAAACTTTGGATGCTAACATGTGCCATCGGTCATTCTAGCGTTATCAAGGAAAATATTTCAGCGCTTAGCATGGATGATGTACTTCGGACATTCATTCCGCTTCTTGCCACGCTTTGTTTCTCTACAGCGAAGAAAGGCTGGTCTGTTACGATTTCTAGATGTTTTCATCAAGCTGTCTTTTTCATCCGGCAGCCGACGGGCGAGTTGTTTGCTGGGTCATCAGAAGCCATTCCTGTGGTCAGCGTTTGGCGTCATCTTCATTCCCAGCGGTCCCTTTGGATCTGGAGCTGATTTGGCCGTAAGCCTGCCAGCTCAGACTCGCGATTTCAGGAGGAGAGAAGCCGGCCAACAGCTGCCTGGCATCAAAGGCCGCTGGTGCGTTAGTTATCCGACAGATGGGGCTCGATTGGACAACGGTAGCTGCGCTGTAGAGACGCCGGAGCTGGACGGACGGAATACACGAGTCTTGTTTTGTTTGAGTTCGTTTGCATCTTCGGCACACCGC